GCGGTCTTCTGCGGTTATTTTACAGTTATTATATCAAAACAGAAGAAAATGGCGGAAAACGCAATTTTATTTTAATATATCAATTATTTTTTTAAGAAAGGTTTGTCATTATATACTACAGCGGAGAAAATAAAATTAGCAACCTCACCTTTATTTTTGGTTCTAATTTAGCAAAAATGGCAGCGAAACAATTATTAAATCTACTTTATTTCTTATTATCTTCTATTACAATTAAAAAAATTATAAATTGGTATGTTTAATTAAATTCCAAATGGAAAAAAAATTAAAAGTATTCAGTTTGTTTTACTTTATCAAACGCTTTAGGAATGTCAAGAGCGATGGCCTTAACCTCCCCTCCTTTATCTAATGTACGATAAAACCTATCGGTTATTACTGTTAGCAAATCGGCCATAGAACGAGAAGATCGAAATCCATATTGATGATCAGAAAGTAAGTTATTAGATTCAAGATGAGAGATTAAGTATTTGGTTAATTAAAGATTAATTACTTCAAATATGCGACTTGACATACTAGTCACAAGATTTTTGATAAGACAAGTTTCTATAAATATTTCATTCCAAGCTTCTCTAATACGAGTTTTCAGCTCCAATGTGGATTCAAATTGCTTACCATTTTCATTAACCTTCTAGACAGTATTCCATATAGATTTTCAATCTTATTTAGATTTGGACTGCATGTGGGCCATTCCATTATGCGAATATTTTTTTTTCTAACCCAAGCTTATGTAAGATATGAATTATAAATAGCAGCATTTTCTTAATGAAAAGTGAAATTTTCACCCATCAATTCTTCACCATGTAAAAGCAAACTAATTTCTAATAAGTCAATATAGTCCTGTGAATTGATTTTTGTTAAAACCCAGGCTAGTGGAAAGTTTTCAGCAAAAAAAAAAAAAAACTCCAAACCACAACAGTTCCATTACCAAAGTTATGACTTATCCGAGTTTCTTCCTCTTTTCAAAGATCATGCCAGTTATATTGATAGCCGTCAGGACCATATAGATTGAACTTTTTTTCATCACTAAGGAGAACTTGATGCCACTCTAAATGCCAAGACACGTGTTCTTTTGCAAATTGTTATCTAGTTTCTATATGACAATCTGTAAGTTTTGGTTTTGGTTTACGTTTTTTCCTAACTGTGTTCAAATCTTCATGTAAGATTTTATCACACGTTGAACGTTACAGGTAATTTAAAATCAGCATGAATTTGAGATGCAGTCATGGCTTGAACAGCAGCACGACGTACAATAGCTTGCTTATTACAAGTATCATTTTTACGTTTTAACGCCCGTCTTGAAGTAATTATTAACCACTTTTGGAGATTTTTTTATTTTCTTTGCAATTTCTCGATTAGATAAGCCTCTATCTTTTGTACGCTTTGATTACAACTATTTCTTAATTTGTTAAACACTACCCGTCCCGTTTCAAAATCAGGTATCAAAAACCAATTTTTAAAAACTTTATGAGCACTGATTTCACAGTCTCTGTTTAACTTACAAATCACAATAAAAAATTAAGTTACAGATGTGTATCACCAGATCAAAATATACAAGTAAATTGAGAAAAATTATTGATGAAGCTAATTATATTTGTTACCGCAAATGGTTTGTCAAATATACCTTAATTTAATAATGCTATATTGTAATCTAAAAATATGTTGTTTGTAACAATAATTAAATATATGTGAATAATTATATATATGCACGGCACAAATTTGCTTAAAGATTTACAAAATATTGGATTAGAACATGATGAGGTTAATTCAATTTTCTCCACTGTATTTATAAGTTTGTTGTTTATTGTAAATTTTGAAGAATGGTTTGTTACTTGATAAATACAACATATTTATTTTAGTCATACTGGTGGTTAAAGAAAACGCCATGTTTTATTTCGTACCACAAAACCTTTTTTATTCAAGAGTATTTGAGGAGTCCATTCTGCAAAATACGCTAAATCACACACACAAAAAATTTAGTTAACTTTATTTCCACATTCTATACACTAAAGTCTATCATCTATATAAATAACTGATCAATTGAAAGTTTTTTTGTCCTAAAAATAGACAACAAAATTTCTGTTGATGCGCAACTATGAGTAGTTTAGTTTTTTGTCGTTTTCTCACAACCAATTTAGTCGGACTTATCACATTTTGCAAATGGGCTCTTTATTTATAATGTAACAACAAAAAAGGTTTTTTTTAAAATCAGAACAAAGTGCTTAGAGTCATAATTAAGGAAAAACAGTAAAATTGAAGGGGTCAAATATATATTAGAGTTAGGGGTGAATAAATTACAAATATGGATAAATTTATATGAAAAAATAAAAAAAATAAAAATGAAGAAATTAGAAAAGAAAACTTAAATAAAGTAAAGATTTATTTTGGTATATCTATTTCAAAAAACTAAATTATAACGGCCTCATAAGCAATGGGAGAAGGGAGTTCTTGGAGTGATAGACAAAAGATAAAAAAACTTGGAATGCTAGACAAAAGATAAAAAAATTAGTCCGTAAACATTATGAACTCTATCTTTAGATTTTGCAAGAAGTACAAATGCTGCTAGACAAAAAATATTAGAAAAATTGAAATGCTATACTGAAAACATACACTTTTCTGAGATTTTTGCAAAGTACGTTAGATCACACTGAATGTGGCCATGATAACAAAATATTAGGAGTTTTATATCGAAAAATTAGTTTTGATGGAGCACTAAGACAAAGTATTTATAAGCAGAAGTATGAAATGACAAACACACATACAGAACCTAAGTATGAAGAGGGCCTTTTCAGCACAGCTTTTGTGACTTTATTGCTTAAAGTAGGGGATGCCAAAAATTAGGAAATGTGAGAATACTTCAAGTTGCCACTTTTTTAGACCTCTCCATCTACAATATAAAAAAGATAGTCCAATATTATCCACAGAATAAGAAACAGTATTTACTACCTTAGAAACGTTTTGCAGAATTTTGAATATTACAGGAAGAATAGTGATTTTTATTATCAGCATTAGGATTGATCTTTTAGTTTTTGATATTAAAATGGTTTACCCAATTACAGACACAAAATCCACCTAACCCTGCAATTTGTGCAGTGCTAAACCCAATGAAACGATTGATTTAGTAAATTTAAAAACAGAAGTTGAGTCAGCCTTGGAGCTCAGAATTTCCGCTTTGCACTGCTGGAGGTAAAGTGCTTGGAGTTTATTTTTTGTTTGAGTCAACAAAAATAAAAAGTACAAGGCAAAAACAATTAAGGAGAAATTATTTGTAAGCTTAAGAAAGGTAATCAGTAACCTTTCAGAGAACGGTTAATCTGTTAGCATACCTAAAGTTGAGTTTGACAATTTTGATGAAAGCAGTACTGCCAGAAAAGCATTTAAAAATCATAAAGTTGTTTTTAAAATTACTAAAGATGAAATCTAAAGCTGATTATGATGTAAATAAAAGATTGCATAGCATTCTATAACCATATCTTGTAGATATTCCATTAGCATCAATGAGTTAGATTTATACTGCAATCAAACAGCCAAATTTATAGTGAGTTTGTACGACTGGTATGTTATGCCTCCTAATTTACACAAACTGCTACTGCATATCCTTAGTATATTCAGAAGATGCACTGGAAAGTTTGAACAAACAGATAAGAAATTCTAGACTTGGATAACATTTCAAGATTAAACACCATAATGAATCAGATGCACAACCTTCTAATAAGATTCGATACAAAAGTATCAAACATATCTTTTAAAAAACATGAGAGTTATCAAGAAAAACCATTACTAGTTGAAGTTATTAAACTGATTGTAATGTAAATAATGAAGTTGGTATAATAAAATACTAAAATAAAACTAAAATAAAATTTTTTCTCTCTAAGTTTCAACATCCAAACAATTTTTATACAAATATCAATTAGAGTAATGTATGAAAATATTGTGACTTTAACTAAAACCATTTTTTATACGCGTTTAACACAAATTTAACGCGCGCATAAATGTACATGCGCGCATTATACGCGTCAAAGCTGAGCGTAAAAAATATTTCTATTAATAAACTTAAATTCTTCGACCTAAAAAATCATTATTTCAACATATAACATGTTTATTCACAATTTTTGTCAAATTTTATTCAGGTTTTGCCATTTTTTGATCATCCTGAGTCACTCTGAGCATCGTTTGTAAAAGCGCTTCGACAGCTAAAAGCAAATGTCAGTTTATTTATTTTTATTCTCATTTATTTTGAAAGATAATAATGATTATTTTGAGTGCTGAAAAGTTTTTGGGTCATGGTGCAAGACAAAATAACCTAAATAAGCCAAAAAAATTTACAAACGAGATAAATTGATGAAAATAACTAGTATTATTTAAATCAAAAAAGTTATAACTTTAAATATTTAGAAAAGAATAATAACAAAAATAGACATAAATCCATTCTCACCGCCTCTGGCTCTTCTACTATTTCAATTGTTGGAATTTTGCGAGTCTCGGTGATTTCTATATTTTCTTTATCTCGGTTTTCTACTTCTCGTATTAAACTCAACAATTCATCTTGAGGTGTCAATTCAGAAAAGCTTTTAGTTCGGTACCTGATATTTGCGTCCGTGTAAGCGTTTTGCATCTTGGTCTTTTTATGTGTGATGTTAACCTGGTCTGAAGTGTCGTTTATATAAGAGGGTTCAATTTTGTATACGTTTTGTTGTATATTTAAACAAGCATTTGAAAGATGATCAAAAAACATATTTGTTGAGTTGTTGATAAACCGTTCGACTTGAGATTCATTTAAAACAACACACGCTTTTGCTTAAGAATGTCTTTCGTGTACAAAATAAAGAGTTGGTACAGTTATTTGATTATTGCGTTTAATACGGATAAACATCTACGATTTGCGGACAATTAAAAAATAATTTTCTCTAAATTAAATATCATTTTTGGTTATAAAAATTTTCATTTAAAGCAAATTACTTATATAAACAAAAATTTCTGAAAATTCAAACCAAGAACTTTCTTTTCAGAATAAGCAGATATTTTTGAATAAAAATAGATAGCTGAATATATTGAATGAATAGTATTGAAGGCACCTAAAATACAAGAAAGTTATCATTTTAAATATAATATATATTAGTATTTGTAATAATTGTATATATAATAATAATAAATATATAATGTGCGTATACAACACAAATTGTTAAAAAATATAAAAATATTATTAAACGTATATAACTAAATATGTATAACTTTTTAAAATAAAATCTACAATGTTTATTCAGTACATATAGCTTTAAAAAAATCCATTTAGAACAAGGGCGACCCAGCATACAAGAAATTTAAAGTTTAAAATAATACAAAATTCTAAGGAGCTATTATAAAGTACTAGATTGTGAAACATAAGCATACTATTACAAAAAGATTGACATTTTTCATAGGATTAAAATAAGATTTATTTGGTGAAACTAATCCAAAATGTACGACACAATATGCGACTGTTCTATGCAAGCAACAAACAACAAGAATTGCTCTTTGTTTTTTAAATAAAAAAATTTATTAATTTAATTTAAATGATAAATGCTAAACTTACAAGGAAATAAACTAATTAAAACTTCAGAAAATTGCCTGGACCCAATGTTTTTTAAAAAAACTACGTAACTACAAAATTCATGAGGTTGACCACCTTATATAATTATGTTTAGGTGGTATTGAATTATATGGAAGTTAAAAAGCGCTATTGCTTCGATGCATTTTAATAAATTTATCAATTTTTATTTGTATATGTATTAGTTAAATTAAGGTGTTCATTATAAAGATAATTTTAACCTGAAAAAGTTACCAGACAACTTTTTTTTTATATATATTAAGTTTAAAATTATATTTCACATTATAATATTAGTATCTGGCGTTTTATTTCTTTTCTTCTAGAAAGATCTTACAATACACATTTTTATATTGAGATTTTAAAATATCTTAAGTCGGTGATTTTTTTTTAATATTATTCAACTAAATTATCAGTTTAACTTTACATTTAAATTATTACAAATAAATGATTTAAAAAAGATCAAAAGGTTGTTGAAACGTTTTAAAAATTTACATTTAAAAAATTACAAATAAATGTAAGATCTTACAATACACATTTTTATATTGAGATTTTAAAATATCTTAAGTCGGTGATTTTTTTTTAATATTATTCAACTAAATTATCAGTTTAACTTTACATTTAAAAAATTACAAATAAATGATTTAAAAAAGATCAAAAGGTTGTTGAAACGTTTTCGATATTACTAAAATGGTTGAACGCTTGTGATTTTTTGTTTTGAAAAATTTTGAATCAAACGCTTGTGATTTCAAAACTTTTATATTCCATCCGTCATTTCAACAAAACTTTTCAGTTTTGAACTCTATCACTAAACTTCTTGATAACTTAACTCTTTATTTTTATTTCATGTTTTTATTATAGTTGTTAATGAACTTAACCTCAAAAGCTTTATTTACGTATATATAAATTATTATTTACGTATATATAAATCAAATTTACTAAACTTTTTAAGAACTAATATATCTTATTTAATAATTTAATACAAAAATGTGTTTATAATGTAACAATGATGTAATATTTATTTCTATTATATTACCATATTTATTGTTGTCTATTAAACCAATATAATTTCACAGGGTCATATAGTATCAAACGTTTTCCTATTTCAGATACCACGCTTGTGTCATTCTTTAATTTACTCGTGACTGGTAATTAGGCCAGGTGAACAAAAATGAGCAATTACTTTTACTTAGTAATTGGTCAGCTTTACGTGAATAAAAACTTCAGCAGTTTTGCTCAAATTTTTATTCACGTAAAGTTAAGCAATTTACTCAGTAATTGGTCAGCTTTACGTGAGTGAAAACTTAAGCAAAATTGATCAAGTTTTTACTCACGTAATGCTGACCAATTACTAAGTAAAAGCAATTGCTAATTTTTATTTTATTTACTGATTGTCATATTTTAAACTGTTGTTCGACACATTTAAAAGCCATTTTTTTGTTGTTAACGTTTTCTTTTACTTATATACAAAGTTCACATTTACAAAAAAAATTGTTCGCTTTATATAGCATATAATACAACTTGTGACTTTTGTCGACAAAGCCATAGTTTGCATAAGCTGAGATCTAAATGACTTAGAGTTATCTAGAAGAACTTCAGAAGGAGGTCCAAGTATTGACCATATTGTTTCTAACGCTTGAACAACCATAGTTGCACTTTCGTCGCTTAATGGTGTCCATAACGTATATCTGCTTGGGCCGCAATCAATACAAGTGAGATATAGCGATGAATCAACACGAGTAACATCGCAGGCTACTCTTTCCCATACTTTGCTAACAGCAAGATTTTCTTTATCCCACAACACCACATTAGGGTCAATCGAGTTACATTCATCGCATTCAGCGACAACCTGTTTCACTGTGTCTCTGGTAACGCGGATACCAGCGCGCATACATAACTCCATACTCTTGGAAACTCCCATGTGTGCTAGTGAATGAATTTTTCGAATCTGCTGTTTATCGTACTTGTAAATGGTATTACATTCTTGTGTTGCAACTTTGTTTTTTATCCATTTTGTTGGCACTCTTGTGAGTTCATCTGCAATATTTTTAGTTGTTGGTACCCATGTAACAGTTACATTTATGACATAATCCTCGACCAATTTTTCAAATATTTGAAGTCTTCGTCGAATTAATATTTCGCATTGCCCAGCACATTTCACAGGTTTGTCACGAGTCAATTTAGAATTTAACCAACTAAATACACTATGAGAATCAGTTTTAACGGAGACATCATTTGGATTCCATTTCAATGCCATATTTAGACCTTCAATACATGCATCTAATTCGGCCACATTGATATGCATTGCATCAGACTTTGGTCGGAGCCATGTCGCATCTTCTATCTTTCTGTCACCTTGCGTTATCACAACTCCTTTTGCCAGCGAACTTGCGTCGCACCATACAGTCAGAGATGCATTTGGTTTAACATTCCATACACCTTTTGCCGGATCGTACTTTACGGCTTTATCTACAACTTCCTGCATCATTTCGATAACATACTTATTCGTAATAGGTTCATCCCAACCTGCTTCGTTTGTACATCTTTTTATATAGCTGCATGCCGGTCTCAACCATCCAGCAAATGGTAGATCAGCAATCATATTACCACACAATGAGAATATATCTCTCTTTGTGAACACAGATTTAATAATAGGAAGCTCGCGTCCTCTCTTCCAAAACATCTCCTTTGTTAATGGATTTACTGTGACTTCTAATCCTAGTGCACGAACTGGGTTTTCGCCAAAATATTCAGGTGCTTTTGCATGAAGACCCCATTTCTTCATATGTATCACCAGCTTTCTTCCATTTCCATTGGTTGCGAGGGTGTCATCAATGTATCCTCTTGTTGTTTTTGCCAGTGCAGAATCTTGTTGGAGAACATACCACAATATTGAGCTCATCATCACTGGTGCCAAACTTAAACCAAAGCCCAAACGTGTAAGTGCATATCGCTGATTTTTATAGATGACCGTCTGGTAAGGCCAATGCCTTTTATGCACATGAATTTGTAAATATGCTCTTCTTAGATCCACTACCGAGTCATTACTGTTTTTACTCATGAGTCTCCACTCCCTCATTGCATCATTGATGACATCAGCATCCCTTGTAGAGGCTTTTATATACGTGTTAAGCTCACGATAATCAAGCACAGGTCTTATCTTCTTTTTATTATCTTGAATGACACACATTAACGGTAGTAGACCTTTTAGGTTTTCCCATAATTTTATCGTCATATTTGATGAGTATACCTTCTTTGATCCATTCATTTATTTCGTTGTTAAAAGCCTCACAATGTTGGTGAGCTACATTATACTGACTTGTTCTATTTTTCATTTTAGGTTCTTTTTCCCACTCCCAACTTACAATCCACTTTTTGCCATCAAAGTAAGCTTTGCTTGTTCCAATTTCAATTGTCGCAACATGAAGTTTCGATGCCAACTCAATCAAAGAATTACACAATTTCAGTTTTTCAGTGCCAATTTGTAGTCTATCACACGTCTTTATTAAGTCCATACCCATAATCATGTCGTATTTGTTTATTACTTCATTCACGCTCAGAACCACCGCATCTACCAAGCACCCATTCGTTGGGTGGCATATTTTAGCACTAACTTCTTCGCATCGAATTATTCCGCCCATTGTTGCAACATTTACTACACGAATAGTCAGGCGGCAGTAACTTTTTGGTGATGATTGATTGCGAACAACCAGTATCCACAAGCGCTGTAACTTTTCTTCCATTTATTACCAAGTCAATAGTAGGTAGTCTTGTTTCTGGACGAGTTCTTGTAAAGATACTTAATGCGATCTCGTCCCATTTAAGTTTTCCTGGTTTCTTTGACGTTTGTAGCAGTCTTTTGCAGCATGTTTATGCAAGCATTTTTTGCATAAAGAGGTACATTCACGTGCAAAGTGATTTAAGGATTCACAGTTGTAACATCGAATTTCTTTCTTTCTTTGTGTATAACTTGTCGTTCCAGTCTTCCGGCGAATCGCATTTACTTCTTCATTTACAGATAAACATGCCGCATCTAATCTTGTTTGTGCAACCACGGATGCAGTCTTGACACAATCGTCAAAGCTCAATGCATCGTCTTCCCAAAGAATGGCACGCAGAATGGCACCATCATTAATGCCAATTATGAATTGGTCACGAAGTCGGCCGTCTCTCTCTGAGGGCAAGAACTTGCAGTCTTTAGCAGGTCGAATCCCTCAATGCGCGAACGTCTGTATAGATTCTTCAGTACCTCGGTAAATTTTTCCAAACTCATACCGTGAGATTAACGATGATTTTCTTATTTCCAACGTTTCCAATTTCGTTACCAATTCTTTGTACGAAACATCCTCTGGAACTTCCGGTGCTGTTAATTCTTCCATGGTCTTGTAGGTCTTTAACTCAAGTCATATTTTGAGTTGAGCTTTGTTTAGAATACAAGAACTAACTAACTTTAATTTTTTTTTACAATTATTTACTTTTAGTTGCAGTTACAATTTTTTACTTTCAGTGAAAAATTGTAACTGCACGCTTGTTGTTTCTGTATAACTTCTAGATATAGGCTAAATGTTTCTGTGTGAATTCTAGACACAAGCTTGATGTTTTTTTGCAACTTCTGGTTTTCTGTTAACTAGTAAAAATTCCTGCAGTTTTACCCATAAAAATTAAATTTTAGGAAACAAGTTTTCAAAGATTAGCGGACACAAAATATTCAATGACAAGTTTACTTGACAAGTATTATACCGAAAAATAAAAAGTAAAAAATCAGAACAATTAAACAAATATGAAACCGATTTTAAAAACGATTTAATAATTTTTACTGATCTTTTACATCAAAAGAAGGTTTGTTGATAGAATGATTGTACGTATTATTAAATGATAGTTGTTAAAAAATAAAGTTAAAAAAAAGGTTTGTTGATGGTTGATGACAAGTAGTATTACTATTGTAAGTTTGACAAGAAAAATAAAATTCTTCGTCATTGTACATAAAGTGTAAAGGTAAAACTTAAAATTTTACAATAAAAAATTGGTAATAAAGCTTTTTATAGAGAAATTTATAGTGTGATTTTCTTGATTAACAAAAAGAAATGAAAAAATATTATTCAAATCAAAAAAGTACCTCTAAAACTTACAAATAACTTTAGTGTTCTTACTTACTGTAAAACAGATTATGCAATCTTAGGATCTTGCTCATCTTAGGGTACATCCCTCACCTCCTTTAGGACAATCAATAAATATTTTTATGGCCTACTGATGTTCTAAAATCAAATATAGTACTAAACCCCAAGGCAAACGGATTAAAACTGTTTCTGCTTTTGTCATAAAAATGCTGTGGTGATGCATCCTTGTCTTTTTTGAGTTACTGCTAAGCATTATATTTTCGTTTTCTTTTAAAAAAATAAAGATATATAAAATTTGTGAAGTCAAAATATAACTTTTTTTTTAATATAATTTTAAGTTGCAAAACGTTGTTTTTTTTAGTGTCAAGCAAATTATAAGTTTTGGCTCCAAAAAAAAAAGCATGGTTGGTATAGTTGCTACAGTTATCCACAAATAATCTTAAGCTTATAAGAGTTGAAGCTAAGTACTCCGTTGTTATTTTTAACAATGTAAATTTATTGTTATTTTTATTTATTTGTGTTGACTTTGTCACTTTAAATAGTTAAACCTCTTCAACTTATATTCTTTAAAGAATTACCAAATTTCATTTCATTATGATAAAATGTATCAATTGGATTTTCATCTTCACGAATAATGTACCCAGCAATATAAACTAATAACATTTTAAAATCAACAGTCAATGAACCTCCTACAACAATTAAACTGTCAATAATATTACAAAAAGATTGATAACAACTTTGAACAAGATCGATAACAACTTTGTACGTTGTCTATTTGGTTGCCTCTAGTTAATAATATTCTTTTTTGTTTTGTTTTGTTTGTTTGTTTCATTTGCATTGAAAAATCACCGATTTCAAAAAGTTTATACAAATTTTTATCATTAGCAGAAGCAATAGCAGGTCAGTTAAAATCTTTCAAATAAATATCTACTTACAGACTGCATGATAAACTTTCCGAATTTCAGACACTTTAGTGAATAAAATAAGTCTTCATTTTACTTCATATAAATTAATTAATATATCATTACATAAGTTAGATAATACTAAAATTAAATTTCTTAGTTGTAGAATTTTTGTAGTAAAAATTTTCTTGAGAATCTTGTCTTGAAAACTAATTTAAAAAAAAGACTTTAAAATGTTTTTATCTTTAGTTTTTTTTAAACTATTAATTAATACCCATCATCTATAAATACATACAAGTTGCAATGGCACAATAGGAACTAAACTTGATTTCACGCAATCAAATACTGATGGAACATCACGATGCCTCTGCCTTCTATAATCATTAACAATATCAAAATCATCTCTTGATATTATATCAATCCAACGTTTTTGTTCATCAGTGTTTTTTGGGAGTCAAAATGTTTTAATTCTATTCTAAGAGTTAAAGTTACCTGATAATTACTTATGGTAACTATAATAACACAATATTGACGAACTATTGGTCATGGTATTTATTAAAACATAATATCTACGAATCATTTCCAAAATAGTAATATGAACTCTCCGCTAAAATAGTAAGATGAGCTCTCTGCTAAAATAGTAACATGAACTCTCCGCTATTTCTTTCATCTCTCCATTAACTCGTATTTTGTTAAAATTTGCAAGTTAGTTAAAGTAATGACGTGTGTTTTTTAGTTACAGATTTTGTTCAAACTTTAAATTTATACTTATTAATGGTTAACTTTATTTTAATAAATTTTTATTTAAGTTCAATGGTTTAGTTTTGACACAGTGAAGACACAGTTTGATGCGCTTTGAATCAGCTGGCATAGCTGTTTGATGCGCTCTGAATCAGCTGGCATAATGTGTTCTGATTTAAAAAACGGATAATTTTATTTAAAAATGGTCTTTAGACTTTAACATTATCACAATAGATCAAGTTGTTGACGATGATTTTTTTTTTTAATTTGATAATATATAAAACATATAATATAAAAAATATTATAAAACATCGTCAACAACTCGATCTTTTGTGATAATGTTAAAGTCTAAGGGTCTTTTTTTAAGAAAACTTGAATCAGAACAAATATAAATTGAAGGCAAGTTAAATATATAGCATAAATATTTAGCAATAAATGAAGTTCAAGGCTTTTCTTTGTAACATTTATTTTGTTATATTCTATTGATATTTAAAAACATTTCTTCGAGACAGAAAATTGCAGGAATAAAGAGCTTTTGAAAAGAATCCATGCAATGGTTTCACAATTCATAATGACCAAATAAAAATCAGGAATGGCTTTTAGTAAAACAATAAATAAACCTTCACCAGTAACATCATTTGAACAATGTATAAACTTGAAAATATTTTCCTTCAAGTCTAAATAAGAATAATTAATTTGGAATTTTTTTAGACTAAAAAAGAAATTATTTAAAAAAATAATTTCTTTTTTAGTCTAAATATGTCAAATCAAGTATCTAATTCAGTTTTAAATATCCAAAGTTAGTTTGACCTCATCCAAATAATTATATTGTTATTCAAATTATCCTTAATTTTACAAGCAATATCGCTGTTATGAAACCATTATAGTATATTGTATTCCAGCTTTTATTTTCTTTCCGACCGTTTTAAGTAACTAACCGTGCATAATTTGTTCAATTAATTTAGCTTGAATTTAATTGTATATTTTTACAAGCAATATCGCCATTATAGTATTTTGTATTACGGCTTTTATTTTCTTTCCGACCGTTTTAAATAACTAACCGTTCATAATTTGTTTAATTAATTTAGCTTGAATTTAATTGTTACATATAATAGAAAAAAAATTTTATCTAAGAAGATATTCAAATTGGAAAACTTTTATTTGATTTTTTTTGGGTACGCGAACGACGTATATATATAATGGATATGGCTGGATGTTTCCTGAAACAATGGATTTATTAAAAGATCATTTTTAAATATTTTTCAAATAGTATTTTGTAATTGAATCTTTAAAATTATGCAATGGAGTAGAAGTTCCTG